ACATTATATAGAATCTGTTACCACTAATGTGCATTCTTTAGAACCTGTGACCTCTAAAGTGCATTCTTTAGAACACGTGACATCTAAATGACGTTGTTTGGAAAGCCTGTGACGTCTAATGGACGATGGTTATATATTCTGTGAAGTCTAATGGACGTTTGTTGTAGAACCTGTGACGTCTAATTGACGTTGGTTATATAATCTGTGACGTCTAATGGACGTTTGTTGTAGAACCTTTGACGTCTAATGGACATTGGTTATATGACGTGTGACGTCTAATAAACGTTGGTTGTAGAACCTGTGACGTGTAATGGACGTTGGATGTAGAACCTGTGACGTGTAATGGAAATTGGTTATAGAATCTGTGACGTATAATGGACGTTGGTTGTAGAACCTGTGACGTCTAATGGACATTGGTTGTATGACCAGTGACGTCTAATGAACGTTTGTTGTAGTACCTGTGACGTCTAATGGACATTGGTTATAGAATCTGTGACGTATAATGGTCGTTGGTTGTAGAATCTGTTACGTCTAATGGACATTGACGGTAGGGGCTGTGACGTCTAATGGACGTTGGTTGTATCACCTGTGACGTCTAATGCACATTAGTTTGCAGAACCTGTGACGTCTAAAGGACATTCTTTAGAACCTATGACCTCTAATGGACATTCTTTAGAACCTGTGACCTCTAATGGATATTCCTTAGAACCTGTGACCTCTAACGGACATTCTTTACAATATGTAACCTCTAATGGACATTATATAGAACCTGTTACCACTAATGTGCATTCTTTAGAACCTGTGACCTCTAAAGTGCATTCTTTAGAACACGTGACCTCTGAATGACGTTGGTTGGAAAACCTGTGACGTCTAATGGACGTTGGTTATATATTCTGTGACGTCTAATGGACATTTGTTGTAGAACCTGTGACGTTTAATAGACGTTAGTTATATATTCTGTAACGTCTAATGGACGTTTGTTGTAGAACCTGTGACGTTTAATGGACGTTGGTTTTATGACGTGTGACGTCTAATGAACGTTGGTTATATGACGTGTGACGTCCAAAGGACGTTGTTTATATATTCTGTGACGTCTAATGGACGTTTGTTGTAGAACCTGTGACGTCAAATGGACATTAGTTTGTAGAACCTGTGACGTTTAATGGACGTTAGTTACATATTCTGTGACTTCTAATGGACGTTTGTTGTAGAACCTGTGACGTTTAATGGACGTTCGTTTTATGACGTGTGACGTCTACTGAACGTTGGTTATAGGACCTGTGACCTCTAATGGACGTTTGTTGTAGAACCTCTGACGTCTAATGGACGTTGGTTGTAGGATCAGTGACGTCTAATGGAAGTTGGTTGTTCGACCTATGACGTCTAATAGACATTGGTTTTATAACCTGTGACGTCTAATGGACGTTGGTTGTAGGACCTGTGACGTCTAATGGACGTTCGTTGGATGACCTCTGACGTCTGATGGACGTTGGTTGTAGGACCTATGAAGTCTAATGGACGTTCGTTGTAGTAGCTATGACGTTTAATGAACGTTGTTTGTAGAACCTCTGACCTCTATTTCTAGTTTGTTATAGGACTTGTGACATGTAATGGACGTTCGTTGTTGGACATGTGGCGTCTAATGGACGTTTCTTGTATGACCTGTGACGTCTATTGGACGTTGGTTGTAGAACCTGTGACGTCTAATGGACGTTGGTTGTAGGATCATTGACGTCTAATGGAAGTTGGTTGTTCGACCAGTGATGTCTAATAAACGTTGGTTATAGAACCTATGAAGTCTAATGGACGTTCGTTGTAGTATATGTGACGTCTAATGGACGTTGGTTGTAGAACCTCTGACGTCTAATGGACGTTGGTCTTAGGATAAATGACATCTAATAGGCGTTGGTTGTAGAACCTGTGACGTCTAATGGACATTGGTTTTAGAACCTGTGACGTCTAATGGACGTTGGTTGTAGAACCTGTGATATCTAATGATCGTCAGTTGTATGACATGTGACGTCTAAATGACGTTTTTTATAGAACTTGTGATGCGTATTGAACTTGGGTTGTAGTACATGTGACGTCTATTGGATGTTGGTTGTATGACATGTGACGTCTAATGTACGTCAATTGTATGACATGTGACGTCTAATGGACGTTTTTTGTAGAACTTGTAATGCCTATTGGACTTGGGTTTTAGTACATGTGACGTCTATTGAATGTTGGTTGTATGACATATGACGTCTAATGGACGTTGGTTGGAGGACATGTGACGTCTAATGGACGTTGGTTGTAAGACCTGTGACGTCTAATGGACGTTGGTTGTAAAACCTGTGGCGTCAAATGGACTTTGTTTGCAAAATGTCTGACGTCTATTGGACGTTGTTTGTAGAACAATTTACGTCTATTGAACGATGGTTTTAGAGCATGTAGCGTCTTATGGACGTTGGTTGTAGAAACTGTGATGTCTAATGGACGTTGGTTGTAGAAACTGTGTCCTCTAGTGGACGTTGGTTATAGAACCTGTGATGTCTAATGGACGTTGGTTGTAGAAGCTGTGACGTCTATTTGACGGGAGTGGAAACTAGGACGTCTAATGGACGTTGGTTGTAGTACCTGTGACGTCTAATGAACGCTGTTTGTAGAACCTCTGACGTCTATTTCTCGTTTGTTGTAGGACCTGTGACTTTTAATGGTCGATGGTTGTAGAATCTTTGAAGTCTAATGGACGTTGGTTGTAAAATCTCTGACGTCTATTGCACGTTGGATATGGAACCTCAGACGTCTAATTGGCACTGGTTGTAGGACCTGTGGCGTCTAATGGACGTTGGTTGTATGACATGTGACGTCTAATGGACGTTGGTTGTAGATGCTGTGACGTCTTTTTGACGGGTGTAGAACCAGTGACGTCTAATAAACGTTGGTTGTAGAAGCTGTGACGTTTAATGGACGTTGGTTGTAGAACCTGTGACATCTAATGATCGTCAGTTGTATGACCTGTGACGTCTGATGGACGTTTGTTTTAGAACTTTCGACATATATGGACTATGGTTGTAAAACCTGTGACGTCTAATGGACGTTGGTTTTATGACTTTTGGCGTCTAATGAATGTTGGTTGTAGAAACTCTCTCGTCTAATACTAGTAGACGTTGGATATAGAACCTGTGACGTCTAATGTTCATTGCTTGTCTTCTCATTTGAGGTTAAAAATGGTATTTTACCATATAACGGCATAAAACAACAAAAATATTTACATAACAAATATTTAGTGAACCCTACCTTAGGTACGTGACAAAGGCCCAAACTAGGCAACATCGAAGGATCTCTTTGAACATTCTAAACATATTGCCAGAGCGGTCTTTAAGAGTGTTGTTGGGTCAATGTTTTTTTTTTTTTTTTAAATTATCAATTCTGAGATAAATCCTTATCTACAGAATGCTATATCAAAATTGCATAAGCATGGAGCAATAAAAATAAACGTCCGATAGAAATAAACGCGCGCTAAATAGCAAATACAGCATACGACGACTGGAGTTATCCCCCTTGATAAGAAGCCAACAGTATGTATCGTTAGAATCAATTTTGTATTTGAAGGACAGAACTGTGTGATCTTTGTGAATTTAGATTGCACATCTGTGGGACGGAGCCGCAAGATTGATGAATAATATAGTACATTCTTGTGTATATTGATGTGACTGTTTTATGATACTATCTAATATTTTAATGTTCGCCTATGTACTTATATCAGTTGTTGTAAGAGAGAGTTGTATGTCAGATGTCAACAATTAATATCCAACGTGTAAGACGGAGTTGTATGGCAGTTGTCAATAGCAAATATCCAATGTGTAAGAGGGAGTTGTATGTCAGATGTCAATAGTAAATTGTCACTGTAAGAGAGAGTTGTATGTCGGTTGTCAATAGTAAATATCCAATGTGTAAGAGAGAATTGTATGTCAGTTGTCAACAGTAAATATCCAATGTGTAAGATGGAGTTGTATGTCAGTTGTCAACAGTAAATATCAAATGTGTAAGACGAAGTTGTATGTCAGTTGTCAATAGTATATATACAATGTTTAAGACGGAGTTGTATGTCAGTTGTCAATAGTAGATATCCAATGTGTAAAAGGGAGTTGTATGTCAGTTGTCAATAGTGAATATCCATTGTGTAACATAGAGTTGTATGTCAATCGTCTATAAGAAATAGTCAATTGTAAGGCAGATTTGTATGTGAGTTGTCAATAGTAAATAGTCAGTGTAAGAGCGACTTGTATGTCAGTTCTCAATAGTAAATACTCACTGAAAGAGATAGCTGTATGTCAGGTGTCATTTGTCATTTTCTGAAACAGAATTGCATGTTAGGTGTCAGAAATCACTGTATGAAACAGAGTTGTATGTCAGTTGTCAATAATTAAAAGTCACAGTCTGAGACAGAATTCCATGTTACATTTAAATGTAAATAGTCATTATGTAAGGTAAAGTTGTGTATCAGTATCAATATTAAAGATGCAATGTGTATGTTAAACTTGTCAATAGTAAATATCCAATGTGTAAGACGGAGTTGTATGTCATTTGTCAATAGTAAATATCTAAATGTGTAAGACAGAGTTGTATGTCATTTGTCTATAATAAATAGTCAATTGTAATGGAGATCTTTATGTCAGTTTTCAGTAGTAAACAGTCACTGTGTAACATAGAGCTGTATGTCATTTGTCTATAATTAATAGTCTTTAGCTCGATTGGTTGAGCGTCAGACTAATTAGCCAGGGGTCCCGGTTTCGATTTCTAGCGGAGGCATTGAAATAAATAATGACCTCTATTACATACATTTGTAGAAGAAAGTTATATAACCATTACAAATAGGTTTTGGTTTCTTTTTTGATTTTTGTTCTTCATTCTTTGTATCTGCGTAATGAAAACAAAAATTAAACACACAGTTTCTACCCAACTTTTGAACAGTATATTGGCAGATCATTTGATTAACTACAGTGTATTTCCAGGTTACACAGAATCCGGCAAAACTTTATGAGAGAAATGGGATGGAACACTCTGCCAACAGTTGACAGTAGTCGTCTCGAAAGGCCTTATGACTACACTCGATATATACGAAATCTCACCATGGTAGAGCGCAGCTGTTATTCTGCATCATGTTAGTAGATTTTAAATGTATATGGAACTGAACTTTAAAAATTACACAGTAGAATTTCAGTCTGAAGTGATGGACAGATTTCTATAAACAACATTCTGCTCAAATATGACTCGGAAGTGAAACACAAGATCTTAACTTTAAAGTCATAGTTAATTGTTAGCCGTTAACAAATATTCCTTGCACTAGTTATCCGGAATATATAAAATATGTTAATATATTTATGTCCGTCTTGTCTAGAATATATCGACTTTAGGTACAGTGTATGTATCCGTCTTGTCTAGAATGTATAGACTTTAGGTATAATGAATGCGTCCGTCTTGTCTAGAATATATAGACTTCAGATAAATTGTATGTGTCTTTCTTTTCCTTTTTATCATTCGGAACAAAAAAAAAATCAATGTTTTGAATTTCCTTCTCTATAATATATTGACTATGAACATGTTGAAGGTGAGCTGCCAGACGCCATTGACAGAGACATGTGGGATCATCCTGATGACGATTCCATGCATCTGTTTTTCAACGTCGACACTTTTCCTGCTGGTGACGTCACAGCTAAGAACGCCACTCTGAGTTTGTTCGCCAAAGCCAGATCAGGTAGGTTGTAGTGTGTGGTATGGCGTGGCGTAATATCGACTGATTTCAGTGATAGGTGATGTTTGTGGCCTTTTCTTCCACTTGTATTAAATATTTAACATGTGTCTGTGATGTGTGTAACATCGTGTAATATCGACATATTTCATTGTTAGGTGATGTTTGTACATGATGTAATATTAACATCGTGTAATATCGACAGATATCAGTGATAGGTGATGTTTGTACATGATGTAATATTAACATCGTGCAATATCGACATATTTCAATGATAGGTGATATTTGTAGTAATTAAAATTTAACATTGTGAATATGGACAGATTTCAGTCATAAGTGACGTTTGTGGTGAGATAAATATTTAACATCGTGTAATGTCGACATATTTCAGTGATAGGTGATGTTTGTTCCTGATTACAATTTAACATCGTGTAATATCGACATATTTTAGTGATAGTTGATGTTTGTACGTGATGTAGTATTTAGCATCGTGTAATATCGACATATTTCAGTGATAGGTGATGTATGTACGTTATGTAATATTTAACATCGTGTAATGTCGACATATTTCAATGATTGGTGATGTTTGTAGTGAACGAAATTTAAAATCGTGTAATATCTCCAGATTTCAGTGATAGGTGATGTTTGTTCGTGATTACAATTCAACATTGTGAATATCTTCAGATTTCAGTGATAGTTGATGTTTGTTCGTGATGTAGTATTTAGCATCGTGTAATATCGACATATTTCAGTGATAGGTGATGTTTGTACGTGATGTAATATTTAACATCGTGTAATATCGACATATTTTAGTGATAGGTGATGTTTGTTCGTGATTTATATTTAACATCGTGTAATATCGATAAATTTCGGTGAAAAGTGATGTTTGTAGTGATATCAATATCTAACATCGTGTAATATCGACATATTTCAGTGATAGTTGATGTTTGTACTTGATGTAATATTTAACATTGTGTAATATCGACAGATTTCAATGATAGGTGATGTTTGAACGTGATGTAATATTTAACATCGTGTAATATCGACATATTTCAGTGATAGGTGATGTATGTACGTTATGTAATATTTAACATCGTGTAATATCGACAGATTTCAGTGATAAGTGATGTTTGTAGTGATATAAATATTTAACATCGTGTAATGTCGACATATTTCAATGATAGGTGATGTTTGTAGTGATTAAAATTTAACATCGTGTAATATCGACATATTTCAGTGATAGGTGATGTTTGAACGTGATGTAGTATTTAGCATCGTGTAATATCGACATATTTCAGTGATAGGTGATGTTTGTCGTAATGTAACATTCAACATCTTATAATATCGACCTATATCAGTGGTAGTTGATGTATGTACGTGATGTAATATTTAACATCGTGTAATATCGACATATTTCAGTGATGGGTGATGTTTGTACATGATGTAATATTTAACATCGTGTAATATCGACAGATTTCAGTGATAGGTGATGTTTGCATTGATGAAATATTGAACATGGCGTGATATCGACAGATTTCAGTGATAGGTGATGTTTGGACGTGATGTAATATTTAACATCGTGTAATATCGACAGATTTCAGTGATAGCTGATGTTTGTACATGAGGTAATATTTAACATCGTGTAATATCGATATATTTCAGTGATAGTTGATGTTTGTACGTGATGTAATATTTAAAATGATGTAATATCGACATATTTCAGTAATTTCAACATCGTATAATATCGACCTATATCAGTGGTAGTTGATGTATGTACGTGATGTAATATTAACATCGTGTAATATCGACATATTTCTTTGATGGGTGATGTTTGAACGTGATGTAATATTTAACATCGTGTAATATCGACCTATATCAGTGGTAGTTGATGTATGTACGTGATTTGATATTTAACATCGTGTAATATACATATTTGAACATGTAGTGTGTAATATTAACATCGATTTCAGTGATAGGTGATGTTTGTAGTGATTAATATTTAACATCGTGTAATATCGACATATTTCAGTGATAGGTGATGTTTGTACGTGATGTAATATTTAACATCGTGTAATATCGACAGATTTCAGTGATAGGTGATGTTTGTAGTATGTAATATTTAACATTGTAATATCGAATATTTAACATCGTGTAATATCGACATATTTCAGTGATAGGTGATGTTTGTACGTGATGTAATATTTAACATCGTGTAATATCGACATATTTCAGTGATAGGTGATGTATGTACGTTATGTAATATTTAACATCGTGTAATATCGACAGATTTCAATGATAGGTGATGTTTGTAGTGATTACAATTTAACATTGTGAATATCGACAGATTT